TCTGTCTAATAACTATAAGCAGAAATAGCACCATACAATCTGCATAAGACTCCCAAATCAAAATAAGGTATAAGCACCCAAAAATTGTAAACAACAAGTCCCATTATTCTCTTAGGCCCCCGTTGTTTTCCAGAGATGGAATGGAGGGGATTGATAGTGAGGGATTAAGTGAGGGGATTGTTAGTGAGGGTCGTTTGTTTCAGAGATAGAATGGAGGGGATTGATAGTGAGGGGATTCATAGGAGGGGATTGTTAGTGAGGGATTGATAGTGAGAGGGATTAGTAGTGAGGGGATTTAGTGAGGAATGTAGTGAGATTGTTAAATTATTTATATAAAATAATAAAACAAATAAAAAAATATAAAAATTAAAAATTATATTTTTAAAAAATTTCCAATATAATAAAAAATAAAAAAATAAAAAAATTTCTAATCCCCTCACTATTTTTCTAATCCATCTCTACCTCTCACTATGAATCCCCTCCCAAGGTATTATAATACCAAGGTATAGTAATACCGCTCCTATCTCTCAAACAAACAAGGTATTAGTAATACCAAGATATTAGTTAGTCCCAAGATATTAATAGTCCCAAGGCTATCTCTCAAAACAAACACTCCATATACTAATCCCAATGTACTAATAATCCTATCCCCTTGCTATAACCCAAAACAAACGGGGCCTTAATTTCCAAATAAACGGCTCATAATAGTAGACGTTTTCATGGATGACAAAGCATTCAAAAAATAAAAAGGTTTTGATAATTAAGAAGTGTTTTGGAAAGATGGTTTAGAGTAGTTTTTTAGCTTTTTTTGACTACTTTTTTTTGGGGAGGGGGGGGAGGGGGAGAGAAAGTAAGTTAAAAGTTATGAAGTAATTTTTAACCACTTTTCAAAATACTCTTAAATATACAAAGAGAATAGCCAACCATTTGTCAAAACTTATCAAAAAGATTATTCCGACAAAGTAGAATCCAAATCTTTGAAAGTTTTATGCTTAGTCAATGAAAAGTTTGTTGTTTGATTTAAAAATTTAACCCAAATCCAAATCCAAACCTAACTTATAGTATAAGATTCCTCATCTTTGAAAAGTTTCTAATCAAGCCAAGAAAATTTTTATTTGGCACTCAAGATTTAAGTTAATTGAAATTAACTTTTTAGGTTCTTTTTTCTCAGTTTATTTTTATTTTTAGTAAAAATATAACTTTTAAATTTTGCTCAACTAAGAATTGAAAAAAGTAAAGAAAAATAACAAAATTTGGAAGGGAAAAAAAAAGTTCACTAAAGAGTAAACTTTTTTGAATTTTTTCAAATTAAATTCGGGAAAAAAAAAATGTGTCTTTTTTAGTTAGATTCCATAGCTCACTTGGGTCCGTTTGGCAAGTAAGTTGGGCTAAAATAGCCACAAAAAAACAAAATAGGCTATTTTAGCCCACAACAACAAAACATCACATCCAACACCCATAATCATTACACTCTTTTCTCACAAAAAATCAAAAAGCCAATAAGCTCTTCCCAAACCAAGCTTTTAGCCCAGGCTAAAATAGTCAAAAAACCAAAAAAGTCAAAAAACCAAAAAGTCAACCACTTCCCAAACGGAGCTTAGAATATCTCCAGGAACTTGCAAATGAGGATTGTAAGTTATTATAGCGAGTATAATGATATTTTAGTCAATCTAATGGGACAGCTATTACAGTAGCTATTTTAACAAAAAATTTCAAAGCTAATTATATTTAAAGAGTCTTGAGAGGCTTTTTAAATTGTTGGTGTGTATAGATAAGTAAAATAAAGAGTAGCATTAATACCTAGATAAAAAATGAACTAACTAAAATAAAAGAATTACCTTTTTTATATTTTAGTTAGTAAAAAATGAAGAGTATAGTTGAGTTTATTTACTTAAATATTAACAAATAAATTGTTAAGTTCATTTGTTTGGTTATTTTTATTTTTTAAACTTTTTTAATAATTTTTTAAATAATTAAAGTTAGGATTTTAGCAACAAATTTATATATATATATATATATATATACATATGTACATAAAAATATAGGAATTACTGGCCAAATGTAGGAATTACTGCAATCCGACGACACATTAAACTATTATTTTTAAATGTTTCAATTTCAATGGTTAAAAAGTAAGATAAAATTCATTTTATCTTTATGTGATTTGATAACATTTTATATTTATTCTCTACCTTTTAAAAATTAAAAAAAAATTACTCGTAAATCTCATTTAGTGAAAGTTATTTGTTATTTCATTTAATTCTAGAAAAAAAAATTTTAAACCAATTAGTCCTTTTTATTTTGGGTATGTTATTTCCTTAATTTGGGGATTTGAAAGTTTACATGTTTGTCTTGTGTATGATTTTGTTGGATTTTGTCTTAATGTTGGTTGTGCGTGAATAAGGTAAGCTTTACGTTTCTATTTTTTTTGCGGGTGAAACACCAATAAATCTAAAATGTAATCTTGTAAACGGTTAATCTTCTCTTTTCTCTTACAAATCCAAAGACCCTTCAAAGTGGGAATTACATAAAAGGGTAGTTACTTACATGTTTGAGTTTAATTTTTTTGTGATAAAAGTGATTTTCTCAAAAATGTAAAATTACACATTTGGGCAATTTGTACTATAGAAATTTTGAATTTTCCTAATTTTAGAACAAATCACATATTACGAATAAAAACCTAAACTCTAATGTAACACTCCAATAACGTAACACTTCAATGTAATGCACTAAAAAACTCATTGGTGTATTTTTCCCAAATGTACAACGTAACACTCAAAAATTTATTTAGTGTACTTTTCCTAAACGTAATGCTCCAATGTAAAAAATAAAAATTAAAAAAATTCTTAGTATACTTTTCCCAAGCGTAATACTTCAATCAAAGTAATCTCAAATGTAACACTCTAATATAACTTACTCCAATGTAATACACAAAAATACTAAAAAACTCTTGGCGTACTTTTTTCAACATAACACTCACATTTGAATTATACATTTGTTCAAAACTTACTAAGGAATATTTGTATTCCTTTTTAGAATAGTTTGAAGAATCTCACATTCTTTTTTTTAGTGTTATATTGGAGTGTTATATTTAGGAAATGACACTAATAAAAAAAAAAATTTTTGGGTTACATTGGGGCGTTACGTTTAGGATAAGTACACAAAGAGTTTTTTTTGTGTGTTACACTAAGGAATTGTTTTGGGAGTGTTATATTGGAGTGTACGTTTGGAAAAAGTGCACTAAGAAATTTTTTTTGTGTGTTATATTAGAATGTTACACTAAAGAGTTTTTGGTGTTACATTGGAGTGCTACACTAAGAAATTTTTTTAGAGTATTATATTAGAGTGTTATATTTGGAAAAAGTACTCAAGAATTTTTTGTATGTTACATTAGAGTGTTACACTCAGGAGATTTTGTGTATATTACATTACAGTGTTACATTAAAGAATTTTTTTGTGTATAATTAGAGTGTTATATTTGAAAAAAATATACTAAGGGTTTTTTTTTGTATTACATTAGAGTGTTACAATAAGAATTTTTTTGTGTTACTTTAGAGTATTATACCAAGGAGTTTTTTGGCGTGTTACGTTTGGGAAAGTACAGTAAGGAGTTTTTTAATGTGTTACATTAGTGTTACGTCTGGATGTTAATTAATGTCAATGTTAACAATCACTACAAGAACTAACACTTTTGGCAACAAAAAATTGGTCGCTAAAAGTCTATTTTTGGTCGGCAAAAGTTATCCGCGACCAATTTTTTTGGTCGCTACTTGGTCGCCAATTGAGGGTCGGCAAAGTAATTCGCGACCAAAATTTTGGTTGGTCGGCAAAAGTTGGATTTGCCAACTAAATTTTGGTCGCTAATTATTCAATTACTGCGACTAATTTATTTTGTCGCTAAAACACTTTAGTTGCGAAAAGTCGCCTTTTGCCGACCAAATTTCTTAGTTGCCAATTGACACATTTCGCGACCAAAAAGTTTGGTCGCCAATTGTGACATCCGCGACCAAATATTTTGGTCGCCAATCGTGACATTCCGCGACCAAAAAATTTTGGTCGGCAATCGTGACATTCCGCGACCAAAAAGTTTGGTCGCCAATTGTGACATTCCACGACCAAAAAAGGTTTTGGTCGCCATTTGTTACTTTTCGCAACCATACTTTTGGTCGGCAAAAGTGAGTTTCCACGACCAAGAGCTGTTTTGGTCGGCAATAGATGTATTTTTTGCGAGCAAAACTCTTGGTCGGCAATTGTCATTTTTTGCGAAAAAAAATTTTTATTTGTCGCGACTAATAAATTGGTCGCCAAAGTAGGAAAACAATACATCTGTAATTCCTATAATTCATTCAATCCATAATAAACCTATAATTTTAATGTATCATTCAAATTAACTGAATCATTAACATTCAATCACAATACATATTCATTACATTCGACACAATACAACTATTCTAAGTTTTCATTCACAAGTCACATCCATCTAGCATAACAATTTGAAACATAACTATTTGTTATCCATGCGCAGCTATCAACAAATAAAACTACTAATATTTGCTATCAACAAGTAAGGTGCTTAGCAGCTGCTTTAGCATCCTTATGTTCCTAATGCACTCCACTGCCTCCTGATTTGTCATTACCTGATACCAAAAGTCTAGTCTGTTCAGAGCATACATTATAGGGAAAAAGAGAAATATACACAAAAAAAAAAAAAAAAAACAGGTGCCAATAGAAACCAAACACGGAATGGGACACAAAACTCTGTGTTCCTAGCATGACTGATATGATACAGATCAATTACAGCATCAAATTCACAAGCAGCAATAGCTAGAAAATGTTTAATATCAGTTGAATCAGCAGCACAGACAGTGAACTGATATGTACCAATGATAACAAATGATTTAGGAAGAGAATTTTAAAATTTGTAGACAAAGTAGAAATGTATATATATAATCACAATCTACAATATAAACAGAGTAATTAACACCAAATGACCCATAATACAGTGATGACGATAGTTTTTACCTTATCCGCTAGTTGAAAGCTCATGATTGCATGATATGAACTCATCAATTTAAAAAGGGCAGCTAGTGTTGTCAATAAACATTGCCTAAACTTGGATTCAGGTATTTGATGGCATAGATCACTGTAGGTAAGTCTGGAACTGGAAGATATTTAAAAACTAAATCAGAATCAGCATGGTTTATGCTAAAACCAAACAATGTATGCAGAGACATAAAAGTAATACCTACTACTTTGCATATTGGAAGTTTCCAGGTCCTGCCAAATTTAAATAGTATCTCAATGAGAATGTCGTTCAATGAAAAAGTGTGTCTGCGTGTGTGTGTGTGTGTGTCATTCAACCATTATTTAATTATCCACTCTATCAAGGGCTATATGCTCACATAATTAAATAATTCATATATTCCGCTTCTACCATTTCCATTTACGGTGATCATCACTTGTAGATGACTCAAGGTTATAATTTTGCATGTAATACAGTGGCATCAAAATGATAACCATAATGATATACTTGGTTCTATTGATCTTAAGGAAATGTAACACACAAACCACGCCTAGGCCAAAGAAGTCCAAACCCACAAACTTATCTCCAAAAGGGCCTAACTCACGAAAGAGTGATGGAGACTTATTGGCTCACTAGGGTGGGACAACTACTGGATGTGGGCCGAATACACTTTTCTGTCCTTCGATCTTAAAGAAGTATAAAAGAAACAGAGAGAAACCATATCGGAACAAAAATAAGTCCAAACGCATGCACTACCTCCAGAAGGGCATAACACTAAGATGACTGGAGAGTTATAAGACCCACTAAAGTGAGACAACTATGCGATGAGGGACGGGATACACTTTTCTTTCTTTTGTTCTTAAGGAAATCTACAGACTGATAAACTACACCTGGCCCAAAGAAGTCCAAACCAACGCACAAACACAATGATATGCAAGTATCTTGTTTCTTTTCACTTTGTTTATCTCCAACTGCTTCAGTAATGAATTCAATTGATAATAGAATGCAGCAGCATACCTCCTGCAAAATATTTTTCAAGACAGAATGGGTTACTGAGAGAACCTCCTGCACAAAGAAGCTTTGTATCTTTTCAGCAAGACCAGAAACATCCCCAATCAACGCATAAACATCAACCACCTATAAAGCATTGAAACACTCGTATCAAGAAAAAAATGAAAACAACAAGAATGCTGAACAACAATTGTTACTTTCTTTTTTCTTTTTACCATTGTATTGGCTAAGTTACTTGTACTGTGTTTCGTGTGTGTGTGTAAGCAATGGACATGTGTGGCCCTCATGCATCAGAAATGCGTCTTGGTCTAAAACTAATAAAAAATAATAATATAACACATTTGACTATATGCCCAACACATGTCAAGAAGTGTCCGATGAGCATTGGTGTTGGACATGGACATGCGCCTTGGAAGTGTCCATGCTGGTAACAAGTCCATTGAAAAAACCAACCACGTAATGAATGCATAAAAAGATGTCAGAGAGAGCAGAACACATCAAACATTGCAACAATGATTAATCCCCAATCAATAATTACTATAAGAAAAGAATTGTAACAATTATTTAATAATATCCAGAAAAGAATTGAAACATTGCAACAATTATTTTATTTCTACATCATTTTAGTTAAATTTTAAAGTTCAAAGCTTCAAGGTAAACCGCCTCAATATACTCATGATGTTCAAGTTCAAAGTTTCAAGGTAAACCGCCTCACCCATAGTGAGCCTGAAAAAGGACTTGTGAGCCTAAAAAGTATTTTATTTAATGATGTTATAATCTCCTTGTGAAACAAACAATTTGTGATCATGCAAAGCTTTTTAACTACAAGTTTGACTATGCGGCTTTGTCTAACAGTGAAAAGACACATAATAAATACTAAATAGAAAGGTGAACAGAACATGGCATAAATGACACTTACAAAATGACTAAGCACGGCTACAACTTTGTCACCAGCTTTAAATTTTGTGACTCCAGACCTAACCTCCACTACTTCTCCTGCTATATCAGTTGCTGTTCCAAACACAAGAGGGAGAAAGAAAAAAAAAAATCAGCCAGAAAGTAACCTGCAATTCTTCGAAGGTTTACATTATAAATTCCCTAGGCTATAAATAATACATTAGCATGGGACTTGAATGCAAGAAAATTCCTCCAGATGTAAGACATGTACTGGCTAACAAAACACAGTTAAATCAGGAGAAAAAGGGAGTTTTCAATTCCATATAGAATTAAAAGAGTCATGAATCATTCACATGTGACATAGGTATTAAATAGAATAGAAAACTTTCAGATTATTTGTGAACTACTGAATTTGTAACAATTCTAGAAGTTCTTGATATTCCCTTCCTGTTAAAAATTTTATTGCTTTCCCCTAGTCATTTCAATCTAGAAATTTCCCCCAATCATGGTGATTCCTAGAGGACAACCGTGTGGAGAATCTGGTGATCATTTCAAAGATACAGAAAATCATGCTGAACAATCAATATTTTCAGGGAAATATTTGTTATAATAGTTTAACAGAGCTGGTTTGAATGTTGGACTGAAAATACTGCAAAGATAAATTTAAACTCACCTCTCTACTTAGGAACATTATGTCAATTCAACTCGGAGATAGCACTATACTTAACAATCAATGTATACAAATGTTTCTCCTCAGATAATATAAAGTTTTTATTAATAAGAGCTACATTTGTATAAAATATTGCTGCCTCTTTCTAGTTTAAATATATATTCAAGTAACATCATGCCACATTCAGCTTTTTCACCATTTCAAAATGACAAACATTCCTTCTTACATCCTTCATGCAACTTTGTGAAAGTCATTCTTACTTTCATGTGCTCCAATTTTTTTTATTTTTTTATTTTTGGGAAAAATTATAAATAGGTGAAAACAAGTAAAAATAATTATAAAAATATAAAGATGCAAGTGGATATGTGCTCCAGTGCAAGTAGAGCAAGTTCTTTACTTAAACCTTTATATTTTTTAACTATTTTCACTTCTTTCTAATAGATTTGCAATCCCTCCACACCACACCACACCACACCACTTACAAAAAGCAATAGAGGAGGTCATTTGGTGGTCTTACCACATTGCTGGGTTCAAAAAACTAACAAAAATAAAAGTGATAGGGTTCAACTATTTATTTTAAACCAATAAAAATCCCAAGTTAGAGTGCCACATGCCCATAACCTTGCCCTAAGAGCTCTGAATAATTTTCCCTTAAAAAATGAAGTGAACTACTCTCTTTAACCCTATAACACAACCAATTCACGCTCACAAAAATATCAGGAATATCTACCTAGACAAAATGGCAGGTTCCATATATTATATATACCATCAAGACAACAACAAGAATATTTTCCATATTACTTCAATAATGTCTGAGGCAATCATACTTTCTATGCATCAGGGCAATAACAAAGAAAGGAAACATGATAGTTTAAGGTTCTCAGTTTAAGGTTTTTAGCCAAAAAGTCACTACAAATTAATATGGAAAATTAACTAGGTAACAAAATATTGTAAAGATCTTGCGTGATCCTGTTACCAAAGGGATGCAACCTGTAAAATTCGCACAAGGAGAGGCAATTATCAATCATGTTAGAAGGTTTAGGATTAAGTGTGTTTACAATTTCCATAGACATCAATGTGCATATATATTATTCATTATATACATGTCTAATATTCTTCTAACTAAGAACCAATCAGTATTGCCTAATAATAGGGTGAATTAGAAATACGCCCCCTGGAATGTGCACCGCATCCCCAATTCTTCATCTCCAACACGCATTATATTAGACATACATATATACACACACAAGTTCAATCTATGTAAAGAATTCTTCAATTCCAACACACATTAAGATAAGAAACAAGTTCAATCTATGTAAATCAAAGATTAAAACACGCATTAGTTTGCTTTGTTTTTTTGTTTGCTTTGTGAATGCAAAACACAGATTGAAACACAAACAAGTTCAATCGATGTAAAGAATTGGAGCTCTTACAGGTCGATTACGGAGAGAGAGAGAGAGAGAGAGAGAGAGAGAGGCACCAAAATTTGAAGAAGATTGAGTTCCCAATCTGCCTTGGAGCTCCCAACATTAGGGCTGAAGATTGAGCAAACCCGTTGAAAGAGAGAATGAGCAAGTTAGGGATGAAGTGAAGTGAGGTCCCGACTTTTCAATTGTTAAAATGATGAAAATAGTTGGTCTCAAATTGTTTTTAATTGATAATGACGAAAATATTTCATCCCTAAAGATGTTAATAATATATTAGCAACCAAATTTATTGGTCTAAAAGAATTATGTAAATATTAAGTGAGAATATTAATAGTCATTTTTATAATCTTATAAGTAAATTATCATATGTTTAAATTTGTTCCTAAAAGATTATTTTTAGCGACCAAATTAAATCAGTCCATAAATATTAGTCTCTAAAAGACTAATTTCTTGTAGTGTGGATAAGTTTTTAAAATGAATACATTCCACAAATTAATTGAATAAGGATCCCTTAATACGTGTATTACCTCTCCATCGATGGTAATATTGGGAGCCTTGGTGGACGGGGCCTGATCCATTGAGGACCTAATCTGTCCATTAATACCAAAGTAAATTGTGATTTTTTATGCTTTCTCATGATGATCCTGCATACAAATAAACAAAAGGCATGTAAAACAGAAACTAAAATTTAATCAAAATTTCGAAAGTTGAGTATCAAAATTTCAAAAGGAAAGCCATTCAAACCCCAATGCTCTTAATCACTGAAATCAAACTGCAATACATAAACATGCCACAAGTCTACTGTCCACTAGTTCAGAATATTTAAGTTGGTTTGATTTCAAGCTTCAGACCATAATTAATCAACATCCTATTTCAATGAACTCATACTCCAAGTAAAGGGCCAATAGAGAAATCAACCGTTTTTTTAACAAGATCAAACCAACTACAGAATAAGGAGATGAGATCCCCGTCCTCGGCCGTTCCACCCCGCATTTGTCTGATCCATCTCACAGTCCTATTTCAGAGGTGGGTTTCTTTTTCTTTTTTTGATAAATTTCTTTGATTGCTGTTTGGTGCTGAGAAAACAGTTGAATAAAAAGGAGATTTTTAATTTTTTATTTTTGTTTGAATCAATTGAGGAGCAGAGCAGCAGCAGTAGCAATTGGAAGTGTTTGACTAGATTTTGGATCTATTTGGTTGGCTTGATGTCATTTTCAAAAAATGAAAATTTGAAACCCTTTCAATTGATCAATCAAAATCAAAGCAAAATTTTATTCAAAAAAAGAAAAAGAAAAGAAAATATGTTTTCTAATAATTGTCAATTGCCAATGGAATTAGATTTTCTAAACTTCAGAAAATTACTAGAATTATGTTTCAAGTTTCAAAAAAAAATGCTTATTTCAGGGGAATTTAACAACCACCCCCCCCCCAAAAAAAAAAAAGTCCAACCAAGACCTGCACACACATATCTAAAAACCTATTTTCTTTTATAATTTTCGAAGATGGGAAAAATGTTTTTGAAACCTGCATAGAATGGAGCATTATCTCAGAGACTCTGAATATTGGGAATTTGGTGGTTCTTGTGCTTTGGGTTCATTTTTATATATTATTTCATTTTATTGTCTTGTTATTTCATTTTAATGTTGGATTTAGAAAATAAAAAATAAAAAAACATAATTAGGTTTAAGAGCTCCATGTATGTGGTTTGGGTCGATCCCCTTGTGGTTGGTATATTGCTATAGGTGGGGCACCGCTGAATTTTCTCCAGGAATATTTTTCTTTCTTTCTTATTTTATTAATTTCTATGGGGAAACTTCCTGCGGGGTCATCTTGAATGACTTAGTTGAACCGATTGGAATCTCAATGTTAGTTTTGTTCTAGTAGAGTTGCATCTGTTATTGACTTGCCGTAAAAGAAGTTGCATGTGTTTTTTACATGGTTATCTAGTTGATATCACCTAGTTTGTAAAGTATATTTTTTCATATTGCAGTAGGTGATCTATTCTTTCATATTAACTTAGCTGTGCTATTGTCAATGCTTAGTATCAACCTTTTTGAGGTTGGAGGAGAAAATGTTGCCTTTAGTAAATTTCCACATTTGAGGGTATTAAACAATGTTGATTGGTGATAGAGCCATTGTTTCTAATTAATTTAGGATTTTTTTATCATGGCTGCCAAATAGTAGTTCATTTTTTAGTTGGTTTGTGCACATGTAACTTTGTTGGTATGGTGTATTAAAACAGAGACTTGCATTCGTATCTATAACGCATTCGTAAATTGGTCGTAGGTACTGTATGCGTTGGGGTCTGCTACCCCCTACAAAAAATTACAGGAATGTGCTTGGAAAAAGCTTTACATCCAGGTATATTTAGGTTCGACTTACAGCTTTTTTGGTGAGCATATCAAAATCCATATAAGACGTTGATTTTTATACCAAGCTCTTCTTCATTCTTTTTCTTCTAATTTATCAAGTGAGAGGAAGATTAGTTATTGACTTTAAAGAAACTTGTCTCTTTGAGCTTACTCAGATTAGTTATGTCCAAATGCAGGCAGCAAAGAGAGGCCAAACACCTCTTCCTTCTCAGGTAAATAGGGGTAGCTATTGGGCTAAAACTTTTGCCTTCTAAGATTTAAATAGGGTATTTGGGGAATCACTGTGTTTTCATTCTTTCTTGTAAACTTTTTCAAATCAATAGGCCTTGGAATCTAATCCATAACTTGCTAATGCATGAATCCCCTTTTTTCCCTCTGTTTGGTGGTGGGAGGTGGGGGTATAGGATTTTGGATATTGGACTCCTTGAAAATATTTATTATGATAGTTTGATAACCGCAGACATCTCACATTCTTTCTTATCCCCCACCTCTCCAAACAACTCTCCAATCTCTCTCTCTCTCTCTCTTATCTTCTCAGATGAATTATGTTAGAAGCTTATTGGAGGTTTTCTTACATTATTTTTTTCTTTGTACTTGCCATAGTGGATGAACCATGCATAGGGATTGACTTCTTCAAATGAGTCTCAATGAAAATTAGCAAATGCATTTCCTTAATTACTATTTATTCTTTCCCCCCCTCTCTCTCTTTATATATCTGAAGGTGATGATGACCGGATTATTCTTGACAAGACTCTTTACTGATCAAGTGTCTATATGGAAAAGCAGCAGAGGCCTGACTGATAAGGTGGTCTTGGACCATGATTGCTCTGGAGAAACATGTACTTACTATCAAATTGGAGATGTATTTGTTTGTGAGAAGACTGGGCAGGTTCATGATATGAAACACTAGTTGTGGTTATTGAATGTGGCAACCTTGTTTGTTTGTTTAATATGTACAATTACATGATTTTATTAATGGTTTATGTTCTTTGTTCATGCAGTTTGTGATGATACATATAGAGAAGCTGTTTTGACCCTACAAATGAGCTTTTGGTTTGTACAATATCTGGAATTGTTTTGATAGATTTCTGTCACCAGCTGAAATGGAACCAGACACTGTAAGAGAGATCTCCTCTAGCTTACACTTTTGCTTTTCGTCATAAAACACACTTAGACCTGTTAAAAATATGAAAATGAAAAAAAGAAGAGGTAGACCTTCACTGTGCATGTCTATGGCTATCATATGATGCTGTTGGCTCGTATACTTCACAATACATATATGAACTTATGATTGTTGGACCATCATCTCTTAATAGTGTAATCCTTTTCATTTGGTTAATCATATATGCATGTGTTTCAAACTACAATCAGTGTGATAAATCCCTTTCTTAATCCCTTCACGTTCTCTCCAATTCATTTTAAGGAAAGCATAAGGTGTGTATTGCTAAATCATTATTGGTATTAGGTTTGTTGTTCAAATTAAGAATTGGTGGAGAATGTGACATGATTTTAGGTGGCTTTCTGGCACAAATTGTAATAGGTTTTGTTCACTGTGATTGGTGGCAGATTTTCTGTTTGAAATTCAGCCTTTTCTATGGAAAAGCGCATAGCTCAAGTGTATGGAAACCTCAGCATTCCTTTTGGTTGGTTATCTATCAAAAAACTTTTCTAGGAGGTTCTCAGTTCTTTGAGAGGTTCAATCTTGTGATCTTAATCAACTCTGTAGCTGTTAAAATACTGCTTGTATTTGGATTCAGATATTACAATAGACAGTAGGAATGTTGCAACAGTCTGGAAATATGCTTTGCAGATGTATTCATTTAACATGATAAAAGAGTTTAATTTTTTTTTGTTTGAAGATTGTTATGAATTGTTTTACAAATTGTATGGTTTGGAAATGAACTCATCAAAAATAGTTTATGCACTTGTCATTCCTGTAGT